TCTGCCCTGGGGCGAATGGAGAAATGGTGGGATGTAAAAATGTTTCCCAAGACTGACAGAAAGGAGACATACCATAATTGATTACATATAAGCAAATAAGAATTAAGGGTCAAAGGTAAATGAACTCAAGTATTTCTTTGCATAAGCATTAAAAAATACTAGTCAGACCACCTTTGTCCATGGACATTTAACATCTTGAAGCTGTTATTTTAGAAATCTAGAGATTTGTATTCTTCTTCTCAATCTTGAGTCTAAGTCTCATTTTGACCAGAGGGGCCAAGAATTTAGTTTCTTTTCTTCATGCAAGTGACGAGTCTCACAAAAATCACAAAGCCTGAAGTAGATGAAGTGTTAAGAAAAAACAGCAAATCTGTCAAAATCTACAAAAAGTTATAGAAGATGGGTGCTGTGGGATTACACGGTAAACACAAGTTCCCTCACTATGAAATGTCTTCATACAGTAACCCTTACCTACGATCTCTGATGCTCAGAAATACATACAAAATGCATACAGCAAATAAATGAGCTTGGCCAAAACTGCTGCACTGTACCCAGTGAAACAACATCCACCTGTCTTCACAGTGCAGAAGAATTCGTGAGGAGAACCCTTTTGTTAGCGGTCAACACAGCTGCAGTGTTTGACCCAAGGCAAAAGGAAGAAATACAGAGGAATATGCCCCGAGCAGTTGAGGTAAATTGCGAGCGTCGCAGAAAAACACTCCTTGGACCAGGAATACCCTCTGGATGAGTTTGTAGCATCTAAAAATTAGATCAGTTAATGGAAGAATGCTGTTTGCTGTTGCTTAGACCTAATTACTTAAATTCAGATAAAACCCCTCTTGTTTATACACAGGGTTCTCTGACCTCCTTTTAAGAGATGTCCCGAAAACACCCTGTCAGTTCAGTGCCATTAGCGTAATGCAGTTTGCATGCTGCTGCGATACTGAAGAGATGGAGGGCAGAACCAGAGAAAAGGTATGTTCTTATCTGCAGCTAAGCAGCCGTTTTGCACCAGTGGGTTTTCTCCTTCAAGTCTTGGACAGTTTCTTTATTGCATTACTGTGTCAGAAACTGCAGTTTAATAGCATTGGTTTTGTTTGTGTTGACCGCTCTAATGAACACAATCCGATTACTGCTCTGCCACTGAGAGATTGAACCTGGCGTTGGTCACCTTTACCTCTGTCACTCATCATTAGCCAGCCAAAACGTTTTAACTGAAATAATGGCTTGAGACAACAATGTCTGTAAGGCATTGTAGATAAGGATTGTAAGCACAATAAAAAACAAAACAACAACAACAAAAAAGCAAAACCAACATTGGCCCAGGGTCTGCATGAGTCAAGGTGATACAGGCATTTTTTGTAACTTTGCTCACATTATGAAAAAGTCAAGGGATTTTGCTCTTGTGAAGAATACTATCCCTTTATGAATTCAACGGACATGCTCAGAATTGTAACACGAGCACTACAACAGAGATAGCTAAGTGCACACCGCCTGGAACTCAGTTCACATCAGGCTGGCACACTGCTATCAAAAATGGCGATCACAAACAATACTCAGTTTTCCTACTTCGCTGTTTTCTCAGTCCTCTGCAAGACAAGGTACACAGCATCCAGATTGCTCCAAGAGAAGAGTTGTCTAGGTGACAATTTTTCTGAAAAGCAAAGGGCTACAAGGACAGCAAGATACTGCAACCTGACAATACCTTTTATTAACTCAGCCCCTCACCTACATCCATGTGCTTTCAGGGTGAAGGTAACCCTTTAATTTCTCTAATTTTGGCCACCTCTACAAAGGTACTTTAGATATCTCACTCAATCTCATGAAGAAAGATACAAAAATTATAGTTCAGAATCTAAAAACATGGTAGAGCTGGGTCTCTGTAAACTGTCTCTCTTTGTTATTCTCAATGCCTTACGTTCATGTGCTGAACAGTACAGTGAAAGGTACCAAAACAACTCATTTTTGATGCAAGTATTTTGACCAGGGGGGAGATATTTTCTCTTTCCAAGCTGTATCACTGTGCAGCAATGAATGCCATTAAAATTAGTATCACTCATCTACAACATTAGACAACTTAAAGAATGATGAAATAATAAACTCACAGTTTCGGAAACCCCAAGGAGCAAAAAAAGACATTATCAATCAGCCTATCTGCTTAAAATGTACATGTACTTAACATATTTGTACAAACAACATAACATTTCTGCCTAGGATATGGCACTCTATAAGCCTATATAATGTATTTCTGTTAGCATTTCATTGTGTAGCCGAGGGAATGAGTTTTTCTGGCTGAGCGCTGGTTCTGTAACCTTATCACTGAGGTCAGTATGAGCATCTCCATGAGTTAATACGACTTCACGTGAGCATAAACTCCAGTCCCAGCTTTCTGTGATCTCTTCTGCCTGACAGTGCTCCTACATGATTCATCCACAGTGCAGGGAGCGGTATTTATTAAGCAGAGTTCTTACAACCAACATTAAAAATCTTCAGTCTATGTCTGTCCCAGGCACTGCATGCGGTTAAGTGATACAGTCTGGCCAGTTATGAGTGAAAAGAGCAAAGTGGTGGTGCCTTAAGCTCAAGCCCTGCCAAGCATGGCATGCAGCCAGTTTATTGCATCTGGGTGGAAACCCAATGCCGTCAGCACAATGGTGCCCAGGCTCAAGCACCAAAGCCATGGCTGTTCTGCCCTTGCCCAGGGCTTCCCTTTGGTTCCCACTGCATTTTCACATTTGAAGTTTCCAATGAAACTTTAGACTGACAAAAATTGGCACTCCAACATTTGAGAAGGATGACTATTTCTACTGTCAACCATTTACTCAGTATTCCATTTGTTTCGTTGTCGTGTCTCACCCACGGAGCGGTACAGCCCTTCAACGCCCACCTCACACGTCAAAAGAAAGAGTCTGAAGGCTGCTTCCAGGCTCCAGTCGGGGGGGTCAGAAAGATGAACACATTCTGCATGTCCTTTGTTATGGGCCCAAGATACACTGAAAAGTTAAAGTCAATTGCATTATTATCACCTGTACTGCAGTATTCTCTCACACTTTCAATCCCAAGGCCTCCTTTGGCTTAGGTCATCCCTTTCTGCTAGTTTACAACCTAGGCTGCCTCAAAACACAAGAGGGAAGAAACAAAGGAGATAAAGAGAACTGCGAGAAAAGGTAGCACTACAACAAACGTACAGCAGCACTGGAACAAAGCTTAGCACAATGCACTGGCTGAGGCACTACAGGAGTAGTTTACTAAAACCACCCTTTTAGGCATTACTATTATGAGAAGATACACCAGCAAATAAAATGCCAGCCAGATTTACACTGAAGAAGAGTTTTGCCTTTCTTACACAAAAAAATTATGCAGCAGTTGCCTCGGACCAGAAATGTTTGTCTGTTTTGCTGAGTCTTGCATGTTCTCAAGCAAAGAATTCTTTTTTTTTGTTTAGTGCCCTGAGAAAAGTAAACGCCCAAATACATGATCAAATAGAAGATGTGATAAAGATGTGATGTAAAAAATAAACACAGTATCATTCTCATGTCTTGACATTAAAGAGTAACATGTAATTTCACAGATTTCTCAGTATCTGGTGAGTCACAGGCATCCATCTCGAGAAGGTCACTTCTCATTGCAGCTAGCAAAGCCCTCAGCAGAGCCACCATGCCCTCATCCCATAGCTATCCATTTTGTTTCATGTCTTCCTTGATCTTCAGCTGTTTTCAGCCAGCTGCACCTAATAATTATGGATTTATACTGAGCATATCTCTGTGTGAAGAAAGCACAGAGGAAAAGAGAAGTATCCAAGGTGTAAAATAAAAGAATTTACACTCCTTTGTTTCCTCCTCTGTGCTCACTATTTAGAATAACTCCTTGATTCAGCCTCTGACCAAGCTAGCCTCATAAAAAATTAACTCATATTGGAACAAAAGAGATGCCTTGCTCCAATATTTAATGCATTAAAACATAGATCTATCACTCAAGCAAACAGGATGCAAGCTTCTATGTAAGCTATCCAGGTAATCACGATGCATAGTATGAACCGGCTGTTTGATCAGCTGTTACCATGTGCATTCAGCTAAGCAGACTGCATTCAATGTTTTATATAGGATTTATACCATGAAGACAAAGACCAGCTGGCTGGGAGGCAGGAGGCTACAAATGCATCTTTCCTCCCCAACCCCCTCACTCCCAGCTGAGTTATACAGTGGAAACTGAAAAATGCAAAGAAGTTGAATAGTACAAAGTAATATTTGTAAGATGAACAGGTTTCAAATGAATTAAAACTTCATGGACTATTTAACCCCCCCAAACATGAAATGCCAAACAGTGGTCACCACCATAACCTAATCCTCCCAACTGCAAGATCCCAGTGGCTCTAGTGAACCACAGCCAGACTCTTCAGTGTTAAGCCACTGTTAAAAATTAGCACATCTATGATGTATTTTGCCATACACACCAGCTACCAGCAGTAGCTCACGAGGTCTCAGACTTTCTAGACCAGTCTACCCTTTCTTCTGGGGATGGTCTGCATTTTGCATTCCCCCATCCTGTCCCCTGCCCTCCCTTCTTCGACATAAACACACACAAAAAACACCTACAAAGATCCTGATGCCCGTCAATTCCTTGAGCAGCTCCCTGCTCTCCATCCACAGCTGCTGCTCTTCCTGATGCCATCAAGAGCCCAGCCCTCCTTACGCCAAGTCCATGCAGCCGAGTCCGAGGGCTGCAGGCACTGTGGGGACAGCAGACCTACATACTTGATAGGGAGGTGGGAACATCTGTCCGGCAATGGGGACAGCACAAAGGAGGACAGGGGAGAGAAGAAGAGATGGGGGAGCATAAAGAGATAGGTTGAATTCCCTTGGGCAGCTTTGTCCCTGAAAATATTTTACTCTCTCTTTGGAAGCCTGCTCTTGCCTTAAATAGTATCACTGTTTCTTGACTAAGTCAATACAACTCCTCTGTGGCTTGACATGCACTTTCCAGCATCTTTTTGCTAACTTATCCAGAACTCAGGGTCTCCACAACTGAGATACTGATGCTCGTTCTTCTTTTCGTTCCCTTACAGCACTCCAGCCCCAAATACTGGTCATAATAACGGTCTGTGGCGCAAACACAGTTTCTAAGGGAATTCAGACTAACATTACTTTTAAGCAAGCTGTTGGAACAGAAAACTGATAGGACAGAAAGTGTTGTGCAAAATACAATGGCGTGGGTGGGTTATTTAAAAAAAATATTAGACATTCATGGTTTGAATACCAACGTGCTGTAGTGCACTCTCATTGACCGCTGAAATCAGAAAAAAAAACCAACTTTACAAAAGGATCATACAATATTATAAAATCACGAACCTTAGACACAAATCAGTCCGTAAAGAAATAAAGCCAGTCAATTAGATGAATTATTACATTTTCGAAAATCATCTCACAAGGCAGCAAGAACCTTAATATCTGACAAAAGTTTACAAGGATGAAATAGGTTATCAGCCCAGAAGGAAAATCATGTTAAGTTCAAAAACGACTATACAAAAATTAAACAATTGAATCTGTAATGAGATGAATGGAACTTCCTCCAGAAATTGAAGCCCGGCTGAATGATGACTGATTTCAGAAACATAACTGAGAGCTTTGTTAGCGCATCAAGGGACATTCTCGATAAAAGAAAGCCAAAGGAAGGTCTTCAATCCACTATGACACTGCTCATCCAACTTCTACAACCATGGTAAAACTTCACCATTGCACCAGTGCACTCTGTGAAGTAGCTGCTACAGAACTGACACGAAATACAAAGGCAAGCAACTCCTGTTCTGGGAAGGGGTAGCGCGACAAATGGCTTTTTATCTTTAAATAACAGAGCTACTTAACTACAGCTGTCAGTTGTGCTATACAGAAGGAAACTGTGCCATTGGGAAACATGCCAAAATCATCCAGATTGCTTACATACAGAATAGTAACTTCTGAACAAGAAAAGCCTTCTCAATTGACTAAATTATGCATAAGACCTAATTCATTGTCATTAGCTGCTGTGTAAGATATGTAAATATAGAGGAAACTCTCTGCAGGTTTATGATACTACAACCAGCGCTGGAAGTTCACCTCTGGGACCATCAGGGCTGTGTAAGCCTGCACTGCTCAGGCTGCCTACCTCGGCAGTACAAACATGCCTACTTAGCTTTTTGCCACAGTTCTCCACCTTTTGATAAGATGACCTCCACTCACTCCCTAGCTGTCCTTCAGTCCCTGCATAATCCCAAGACACCCTCAGACAGCCTGACCACACCCAGCATGGAGCCAGAGCAGAGGGCTGCTCCTCACAGCTTCTGCGACTGCGGGCAACAGCGTTTGACCTGGACGCGTATCACTGTGGTGATGAACATCTTGCTATTTGCTGGAGACCGACACTACGGTCACTCACTACGTGGGAGGAAGCATGCTGAATCACGCTTCTTTAAAATTACCCCTGTCCTTGATGGTGCCAAGGAGCAAAACGAGCAAATCAAAATTCAGAAGTACACAGAATATGATCTTGTGGCAATCTCTTGATGCTATAAGAAAATTAAAGAAAGACAAAAAAGCAGTCAAGGAGAAGACATAGAGGATGCAGACAGAGGATGCAGGTGCACATCTGTTGTCAAGATGACCAAGTAAATTATATGTAACTGTGTCTTTGTGGAAGAAGCGTACAAAATTGAAATGCTTACTCTTTCCATGTTACTAGCTTTGATCTGCAACAAGAAAGGTATCCCAAGACAGCAAGTTTGCGGTGTCTGTGTTAGCAAACAGTGCAGAACAGCAGCAGATCTGCAGAGTAAAACAGCTGTATCGTGAATACCCAGTATCCATCCTATATGCATGAAAGGGGCTTCATTTCAGACTAGCTCTTGTATGGTCTTACACACTAAACACCTCATTAGGGGCTGGAGCTCAAAAGGTGAGCTCCTAGAGCACGTCTTCCCATTCGGTGTCGTGCAAAATGGAATCTGACGCTTATGCTCCGAGCCTGCTCTGTGGTGCACACCGTAGAGAAATAAGTAGGGTCATTTGGGTTTGCTCAAGGTATACACTTGATCTGAACCAATACACTAAGGCAGATGAACACCCACCACCACCTGCAGCGTGATTAGGTTTTAGCTGAGTGCTAGGCTAGACTCTGACAAATCCAACGAACCAAAAGCACCACTGCAGGTGGCCGTCCAAGTAAACAACACACTGAACTTTCTTACAAAGACCTTTAGCCTCTACTGTGTCTCATCTTGTTTGTCAAAAAAATATGCAGTTCAGTGGTACAGCTAAGAAAATGGTTTGGACTTTGCAGCCTGTAACCCTAACGCCAACTGCTACCCACAAACTTGGGTTCTCCATCAGTTCATTTCATAACAGCTACCAAGAAATCCCTTGCCCAAAGTTTTGCCATCCTAACTTACCTTTTTTTTCCCCTTCCAGGGTGGTTCTCACATTTTGCTGAACAGACTGAATGAACTTTCCCTAATACTACCCTTTCATGATGGTTAAATTAGCTAATGGAACAGCCTTCCTTAACGATGCACTGCCCTGAGCCTTGGGAGATAAGATGGCTCCTGCAGGTAGACTGGAAAGCTTCTTATCAGATCAACTTTCAGACCAATTAGGAGGTATCAGTCAGTGAATTACAAGTGCTGTCCCTGCTGCCTAGGCTACCAAACTATTTCACAACATCATGCAGCTGCTTTCTCTCTTGTTTACTCTGTATTGCCAAGATTTTTGTGAAAAATCTGGAAGTCAAATGGCAGGCTTGACCTAACTGCCTCATACTCCTTTGCAGGAGCTGTAAGAGTAGTTGAACACAAAAGAAAGAACACCCTGACGGCAGATATAGAGACGGATGACTGAACGAAGAAGCTTCATCATGTCAACTGATAAGGAAACATGCTGGATCCCCTTTGCCTGAGCGCATCCTGGAGAGGGTGGTATCACGGTCCTTGCACGGATGGATCCATTCCATTCCATCATGCACAGCTATTTCATCCATGACCACATTTTGTTTTGGTCTGGGGTTTTTTCCTCTCCAATGGGCATCTAGTACAGGACTGCTAGACTAGTAATGTTCTCCAAAAACAGTCTTGTTCAGCAAACTATCTTTTCAAAGGAGAAGTATTATGACACTGTAAATTACTACCAGAGAGCAAAAAGAAACAAGTAACAAGTGGAGGTTATGCAACCCATATACTTTTCTTACAACACGTCCCAGTTTTGTTTTGAAAAACAATTTTGCCCTCTCTTTCAGTCTATTTTAAAACCGATTTAATATCTTCAGAAAATAGCCCCCAAAACACCTGATCTGTTTTTGTTTTTTTTGTTTTGTTTTTAAAATTATTTGAAACTGGCTCACAGATGCAGTGAGAGCTACTGTAATCATAACACGTATTAGATAGTCATACAAATAGCAAGCAAGGCTTAAGAAGAAGAGTACAGAGCACAGTGGTATCTCAATAATGCAAGACAGGTATCTAAATATTTTTAAAACCTAATGTTTCAATAGAAATATTTTATCTTACAGTAGGTTTTGGTTCTAAACTTACAGGAACATGACAGGTCACTTGTGAACAGGAAAACACTAAGCATGTTTCAAATAACATTCACCATAATTAAGAAAAGGCTTCACCTTTCTAGGGAAAAAAAAAAATCAATTAACCTCACTTCGATTGTAAAATCTGTGCACCAGAAATTTAAGAGAAGCACGTTCTTAAGTAGGACTGGCATAACATTAAGATAAAAATCTGCTAACCTCTTTAAAAACAAAAAAACAAAAGAGGTCCCCATGGCAAAAGCAGGGACAGGAAGGCAATTCTGTAAACATGTGGAGGAAGATTTTAAACGAAACCTCTGAACAGATTCCAAGATATGATTTTCAGAAATCTCTGTTATCCGTGTCTCAATTAATAAGATAAGCAAGTTTGATGACACATCCTCATAGTCTTCTCAGAATCGTTTCCATCCTCATGCTTGAGGAGCCCTTCAAAGAAAAAGAGATGGCTCTGAGCAAACAGAATAACCCGCCATGACACAAATTCCAGCTCTATGAGAACCTTGTATGTTTCTGATCTAAATATTCTTTAGTACCAGGCACATCACGTACAGCGTGTGGCTAAGCATTTTCATATATACATTTTTAAATTGGGAAATTTTCTTTTAATATAGTTGTTTTTAATCTGCACCATTCACAAAAATTTCAAAGACTTCAGCAGAAGTTTTACCCATAAAACAGAATTTGCCCCTTAGTAAATCCTCCTGTTCCTCAAAGGTCTTCACTGTCATCAACTGTACTGAGATGATCTGAAATCTTCAGAGAAGCCACAGACCGTTTTTATTTAGACTGGAAAGAAATCAGTGAAGGCTAATTTTGAGTAGGTTTTCATTACACAACACTTAAATTAGCCAGTTGTTTAGTTTTATTCTTTGCTTTTCAACAAATGTGCAATAAAGGACACTGAAAATGATTCAGCAAAGGAAGTGGTATCTTCAGGTAAACCATCAGCCCCTTCAGAGGAGAACAGTGTCAGGGTTGTGAACACCTCTGCACTGCTTTTCCATTATCAGATTTTTTACTCTTTAAATTTTAGACCCTAGTAATTAAATCTGGACAAAAAGACAGGCAGAACTGCTGCCAAAGAGGGTCAGAGCACTGCAAATGGACAGCTTGCATTAACCTAAATAGAAAGACAGCTGGG